TTAACACAACGGTGGAATCGGTCCTTATACATGTAAATGACAAGGAGAGGTTGCCCTAAAGCACTGTAAACAAATTCCAGGATTGGCTCTGTTCAGCGATTATGTTCATGTTCAGCTCTATTTTTTGTTTGTTTTGTGGCTGTTGTAAGCTTTTTTGTTGTCAATTATTTATTATCTTGCGTATATTTGTGATTTTTTGTGCTTTTATTTCAATTTAGTATTAAATTATACTTGTTAATTATTTTCCGATGCACTATTTTATAGTTGTTGCATAAAATGTTGTTAAACCGTCCCTGAATCTTGTTTACAAAATGTGCAAAACGAAATTGTGCATAGTGTCTAGACTTTTTCATTGACAGTTATCATTCTACCCCTCTCCACTTCATTGGTTGTCATATATTGTATCCGAGTTGCGCAGTGTATAAACTGGAACATTGAGATCAAAAGTGCCGACGCAGAGTGAGCGAACTGATTCTTTAGCTATAAACTGTGGTAAAGGCATCAAAATGGCCGCGCTCTATTTGGATGTGTCGGACCTCTCTCTTTCACCATATAGTAATCAAAATATGTGACTGGATCACATACTTTGATAACTATACGGTGCAAGAAAGAGGTCCGACACGCCCAACATAGGGCGCGGCCATTTTGATTCCTATACCACAGTTTATAGCTAAAGAATCAGATCGCTCACTCTGCGTCGGCACTTTTGATCTTAATGTTCCAGTTTATACACTGCGCAACTCGGATAATACAATATATGACAACCGCCTATAATAAAACAGCAGTCTTCTGCGTATCCTGAATTTGTATCCCTGGAGTGGATGTTATTTTGGAACTTTCAACTGGTCCGAGTGAGCTAACTGATTCTTTAGCAATAAACTGTGACTCCAAAAATAATAGGTCTTTTCCTTTGCATCGAAAGTATAGAACCGAGCTACACCACTTCTGAAAATATCGTTCCATTTATACAAATTGTATGGATGGAACAATATTTTCAGAAGTAACGTAGCTCAGTGCTACACTTTCGATGCAAAGGAAAAGACCTAATATTCACTGACACCACATACTTTGATTTTCTTTACTATACGGTGCAAGAGAGAGGTCCGACAGGCCCAACATAGGGCGCGGCCATTTTGATTCCTATGCCACAGTTTATAGCTAAAGAATCAGATCGCTCACTCTGCGTCGGCACTTTTGATCTCAATGTTCCAGTTTATACACTGCGCAACTCGGATAATACAATATATGACAACCGCCTATAATAAAACAGCAGTCTTCTGCATATCCTGAATTTGTATCCCTGGAGTGGATGTTATTTTGGAACTTTAAACTGGTCCGAGTGAGCTAACTGATTCTTTAGCAATAAACTGTGACTTCAAAAATTATATTCACTGACACTGACAGCAGCAAGCAAAATATCAGGTGCGTTTTAATCATCCGCTTCTGCTTCCGGAATTGTCGGTTTAGTCGTTTTAACCTGTCAGATTAAAACAAGAAAACCGACAATTCCGAAGCAGAAGCGGATGATTAATACGCACCTATTAAAAATATTGCGCCAAGATGTAGGCAACACGTAATAAGGGTTCAGAAAGCTGCGCAGTGCGACCATTCTCCGTATAGAAAAAGAAAATCAAAGTATGTGACTGGATGCCTATATGACATATGCTGCGTTTGAGAATCCACATCGGATGCATTTTTTACATCTCGAGCGTTTTTTTATCCACATCGGACACATCTGTCCCATTACATTTACGTATACTGAATCACGTGATCAAAGATTTACTACATCTCAGGGTGCCTATTCTTGAAATCGGGGAGAGAGAAATATTGAGAGAAAATTCTCACTTTCTACTCCCTTGTAAAAATTCGTATTCTTGACATCGAATTCACCAATATTGGTGGAGAATTTTCTCTCAAAATTTTCTCCTACTTTTAGGTAGAGAGAATGAAAATAATGAGAGAATTCAATTCACAAGCATGCGCAGTGCGTGCCAGAATTTAAATAAATAAAAATATTACTATAACATAACCTCATTTATGTTGTTAGTAGTTTTCAGGTATATTTATACCTTTGTGGTATTTACTTTCCCTTTAAAATGAATTTAGACGCGAAAATAATAAGAATAATTTTTATTCAATACACATAAATTTTAGACAAAATGAAAAAAATGGTGCTACAACTTGTTTAATTATAAAGAGTAGTAGTGTAAAATTATCCCCTTACACTATAGGTATAATACTCCCCTTTTCCAACAGTAATAACTCCCTCACATCTTTTAAATTTGTTTGGACTTGACTCATGTTTTTAAAATGATGAATTATTTAGGAAAGTAATACCTTCTACAATCGTAGAGTTTTAAACACATTTAGAAGGATATTCAAACTTGAATTATTGCCAAGAGATTTGAATTTCTAGTTTGATAATTATTTAAAACGACAGTTAATATTATTTTTAATGAATAATAGCAATTTAAAATATTTATACGTGAAAAAGTCAAAATTCCGTTGTCGATAAAAACAAATCATAAAAACTTAAAATCTTAAAATGCCAGCAGTGTCATTTGCTGTCAAAAATTCGTAGTTTCTAATTGGTCGGATGATCTAAAACGATCTGGCAACTCTGTATTTATTTTCACCATCTACTTTCTCCTCCCTTGGCTTTCACGTTATTTCAAGAATACCAATTTTTTGGGAAAGTGAAAACAAAGTGAATATAGGTTCTTTCGTTCGCTGTTGGTGCAGTTTCCACCAGTGTAAATTACACCAGTTACACCCCCTTATTTACCTTAGTTTACTTCCCTCCTTATTCCTTATACACATTTCGAGTGTAATTCACTCCTGCTAAATAGCTGGTGGAGAAAATATCCACCAGTGGACACCACATCGCCGACAGGAAGGTTTAGTGGATTTTACACCGGGCCGAACGAAAGGTTTAGTGTACGTTGGTGTAGTTCATTCCTACACCAGTGGGACGAACGAAAGAACCTAAGATTCCGCGGGGAGTTTTAATTTCTCTCGTTTTCAAGCATACGCACCCAGATGCATCCGATGTGGATTCTCAAACGCGGCAATAACCCTACTCCCAATTTCTAAGCCGACATAGGTGAAAAAAACGGTCGGTGCGCATGACAATTTGGAAGCCAGACTGTCAATTTCGAGCATTCAACGCAATGAAGTGGAGAGGGGTAGAATGATAACTGTCAATGAAAAAGTATAGACACTTTCATTGCGTTCGGTCTACCAAGTTCCTCTAACTACTTTAACACTTTTTACTCCGAACGACACTTTTAGCGTTCGGTTTAGTCCAGGGGCTGGTAACTCAAATGGAAAACATGAGGAAGGTAATTTAGTACCACTCCAATTAACGGGATGGCGCTCGTATCCAAATGTCATGTCAGTTGTCAGCTCGTCAAAACTTCAAACTTCGGAGAAATTAAAATGGCTATTGCATTCATTGCGTTCGGTCTGCCAAGTTTCTTTAACTCCTTTAACACTTTTTACTCCAAACGACCCTTTTAGAAAACTCGATAACCGTATGGCAAATTTTATATCCACACTCAAATTTGCCTCGATAGTAAAGGATGATGCTTCAACTTCAATTTTTTCAAACTTATTTGCCACTCTAAGTCGCAAAACTTTTATAAAGGTCTTGAGCACTTATATATGCTGATTTTGTTACAGAAAACATTTGATAGGTTTGTTTCATAAATATTTAATAATTTAAATGGATTAAATGCATATTTGTTTAGAGTATTTCCATGTTTAAATAGATAAATTATATGATGCGGCGTTAATTTACTGTAATAAAAAAATAAAATAAATTGCATTTTATTTCAAGTTTGAAATTAATGCAAAAATATAATGAAGTAAAATCAAATAAAGATATAAATTGGCAAAATATTTGACTAGTTTCAAATCACAAAACAGTCAATATGGTTGTTTTATGATTTGAAACTAGTCAAATATTTATCCAATTTTTTTGCTTTATTTGATTTTCTTCATTACATTTTTGCGCTACTACAAAGTTAAATTTCAAAAAGCCCGCTCGTGGCGGATATATTGAATTTTAGTACCACTCCAATTTGATAGATGGCAGCACATCGACTCAGAATTTTACCATTGAGTTTCCCATCTATTCCCATTAGTAATCTATGGTTTAGTCCGATTAGTGACAGTTTAACACGCTTAAATGTCATTTAAAAGCACCCTAAAAAACTCCGTTTTTGTCCCGCCCCAGCCCCTGACTATCCGAACTCGCCTAATGCACAATTTCGTTTTGCATATTTTAGGTTCTTTCGTTCGCTGTTGGTGCAGTGTCCACCAGTGTAAATTACACCAGTTACACCACCTTATTTACCTTAGTTTACTTCCCTCCTTATTCCTTATACACATTTCGAGTGTAATTCACTCCTGCTAAATAGCTGGTGGAGAAAATATCCACCAGTGGACACCACATCGCCGACAGGAAGGTTTAGTGCATATTAATCAAAAATCATTTTTAAATAATTTTCTTAAATTAAAAGGTGTCATAGTTGAATGTAATAAGTCTTAAATTTAATTTTGATGATCCTTTTTAGTGCATTTCGATACGCACCTGTGGGCGCCGAAGTGTCAAATATCATCTCGCTGTGCGGCTTGATTTTGTTGATCGGCTTGGGCTTTGTTCTTCCAGTTTAATATATAGTTCAGTGCCCCACTCCAGTTCATTGATTCAAACGCGGCAATACTAGATGGATGTATCCGATATGTGCTGCGTTTGAGAATCCACATCGGATGCATCTGAGATGTAAAAAATCTTTGATCACGTGATTCAGTATACGTAAATGTAATGGGACAGATGTGTCCGATGTGGATAAAAAAACGCTCGAGATGTAAAAAATGCATCAGATGTGGATTCTCAAACGCAGCAATGGATAAACAAACGCTCGAGATGTAAAAAATGCATCCGATGTGTATATTCAAACGCGGCATCAAACGCAGCATTTGTTTATGTTTTTTTGGGGGAAAATAGAAACTGGGTTGTATGGTTGGCAGTAAAATAAACAATGGCGCTCACGGGATAGTATGATTCTGAAGTCAAATTTTGTTTTTATTATGGTTTTTTGGATATCCTTATTCACCAAAAATATGACGGAGGATAACACGGACAATAATGTAGTCTCAAAATGATGTCAAACATATCAATAGATTGGTGTAGATAGGTCCTAAGGACAATGTTATAGGATGGCTTCTAATTCGTACAACAGGTATTCCAATCAATATTTAATCGACACACCCCATATTAAACAAATTTATCCTTTTTCTAGGGTGGAATGGGTAGAAATAATCGAACCCAAGACACAGGAACATATGTACGCCAATTTGGCTACAGGTGAATGTGTGTGGGATCCTCCAGAAGGTGTACCTGTCAAACGAACAGATTCCAATCAATGGTGGGAACTTTTTGATCAAAATACAGCTAGATTTTACTATTACAATGCTACATCACAAAGGACAGTTTGGCATAAACCTACCAATTGCGATATTATCCCTTTAGCTAAGTTACAAACACTTAAACATAACACTGATTGTACTCCAGCTGCCACAAGCCACCAATCTACTCAGACAGGACATCTCGCAGAAAGAGGACAAGTATTAAGTTTATCGGCGAGTACTCCTCAACTACGTCGTAAACCCAGTGATCTGTGTAGAAGTAGCAGCTTCAGCCAGAGGGGAGCAGAAGCACCTTTATACTCCAACTGGCATGAATCTCAGCTGCTACCTTTAGAACATTTCTTACTCAATAACAGCCGTGATTCTGACAGTGATCATTCTGATAGTGGTAGCGAATCCCTAACTGGTCATGAACCTGATAATGAGGATTCAGATCAATCTGAAGGCAGTTATTTACCCCATCGTCTGTCGCACAGGCCTGTAGAATATTTAAATCTTCCAACAGCAGCTAGTACAGAACCTAGAGATAGAGATACAAAAGAAAGACCTACAGTGCCACTACTGAAGCCTTTAGCAGAACCACCTTTGCAACCGGAGAGAGAGGCTGATATGGAAAAATTTGCTGTTGACAATCTAAATTTAGGTGGAAGAGGGTTATTTAGGAGGAAAGCTAGCGTCCGTGACTTACTTAGTTGGTCAGCTCGAAGTCTACAAAGGCCTTTATTAGCATCTAGTAAACCTGTGGCTAGACAAGCATTAGAAATGTTTAGACAAGTACAAATGTATATGGGTGATAGGAAAGCAAGACCTGGAATGTCATTGAACTCACTTTTAATGGAAATACTCGGGGCTGCACATGTGCAGGCTCTACTTAGGGATGAACTTTTTGTACAATTATGTAGGCAAACTACAGAAAATCCTAGAAAAGAATCACTTGTTCGAGGTTGGGAATTACTAACCATTGCTCTTGCTTTTGTTCCTCCAAGTCCAGTATTTCAACCAGCTCTCTTAGGATACCTAAATCGACATAGAGATCCTACCTTTTCCAGAGTTTTTCCAGATGTAAATAGGTGGCCAATTCATGTTCAAGTAAGTTTTTAGTATTATCAACCTTTTGTTAGTTGTTATCTAACCTAAAGTCATGTACATTTTAAGTCGTTTAAAAAAAATATATTAGCCCAAGAGCCCACTGCAGAAAATAACATTCAAATATATCTTGATCTCGATCTTGATATATATTGTTAAAGGGAAACATTTTCTTCCTCTTAACATTGCACAAAAATATCTATCCAGGATTAGTAGGTAAAAATCATTAAAAATATGAATCAATTTTTGCTGATTTAAAAATTTATTTGTATGCCTATTGTTGTGATTCATTTTGACAGGTTGCCATAGAAACGACAAAAAAACTACTATGATTATGGTTTTAAATAATTGTCTAACAAGAGTTTATAATTATTATTGACTCTCTGCAAATGGTTCATACATTGCCATCCTTCTTCCTTTCACACATAAACATGGTTTAAAAGGTACTTAAAAATATTAATAATTCAGGTTTAAAAGCTAGGTTCACAATGAATTAGGATTGTAATTTTCAGGGAAAACACAATTGTCACTGTCATGTCTAATGTGATTATTTTTTGAATATAAAATAATTTTTTTAACCACTTTGCTCAGGATAGGGATTGGCACAGGTGCAATTTGGTAAAGTATAATGTTGTTACATGCCTTTGGAGCATATTTCATTTCGTTATCAGATGACGGTCGAAATTTGCAGTGGGCTCTCATACTATATATTTGTTATATTTGAATCAATACATGTTATTCTATGTGTTGTTATGTTCTGGTAGTTTATATTCATAGAAAAGGATTTTTAAAAGTTGTTTGAGGATATTAGGTAATTTTTGTACTTTCAGAATTCAGCATGGAATTTTTATTGAATTTTCCATTGACAATCGAGTTGACAATATCTCCTAATATAAAAGAATATCAAAAATTGCTTGATTTTTATTCCAAGGGTGGCAAATTTATCATATTCTCAAATGTCATTCTCCTCCCCTCTGTCACAGTAACCAATACCAACCATTTAAATAGAGAAAGCACAAAGTATTACATATCATTGAGAAGCTAATTTTATGGGGAATTCAGTAATATGACTGTTCATTGCAGTACTTTTGATTTTAGTGCCTTAGGTGGTATAAAAACGGTTACGTATTGTAAAATGTGACACTTAATTTGAAAGCCAATTTTATTACTAATTTAATGCATAACAAAATATAATTGAATGAAATCTAACTTAGCATAAGAATGTTACTACTAATGTTAGGATTAAATCAATTTACTTACTAGACAGTCTGACAATTTTCATTTGTCATGATGTAGGAGCATGGTATACATTGGGACATTTTTTTCTTCAGGCCATATTTGAATTGAGTTTTAATTAAAACAATCAGTCGGAAGATGTAATACTTGTTAGTAATGGTAACCTAAAAATTTGGTTTTAACCAACAAAATGTAAGGTGTAAACAGTAAAAATTGTTTGCCAACAGCAAAACTATGGCTCGCTCCAGGCTTGCCAAAATTTCAAAATATTTCCGGATATAAACAAGGTCTGATCTGAATTTAGCAAGGAGGCCATTCCCTAATCCAAAATGTTTAAAATAAACCATTCACACAATAATATTTCTCTTTATAATTCAAATAAAAATTAATTCATTTGAAATTTGATGGAGATCGTTACATGATTTTTCCTTGCTGTTTTGTAGTTTGTCTTTCAAAAAATAACGCTACTGATATTATAAAAACTATAACACCAGAACAAAGTTCAAAAATAAAAATATAAACACACACTAAATAACAACAAAATATTAGATTTTTTAAAAAACTAATGTATGACACCAAGTAAAATATTGTCTGTCAATTCACTTTTTCATTCCATGACGTCGCTGCGTCCTTAGCAACCCACCCTGTTGTCTACGAACCATGGGGTGGGTTAGCTAGTAGTCGGCCACTTTAGATGACAGTCAAATTGAATAATAAGTTGCTCAGTTGTTTTCCAACTTGGGATGCCAGTTCTGAGATAGTAAGAAAGCACAACTATTTGACTATTATGTGTTTACAAAGAAAAAATAATGTAATTGATGGAATACTATTTTTACTTTTGGGGTATGCATGTGAGTGTGTGTGTGTGTGTGTGTGTGTATATTCACCATAACTCATGAATCAATACAAAGAAAAACACCAAATTTTAAACTTAAGCTTTATTCCGACGTCCAATGAACTGAATTAGATTTTGGGCAGAGTCGGAACATCTGGGGGGGTACTTTATAGGTGGTCATTTTATGAAATATATCTGTTATTTACGTTTGGAGAAGAAAATTCTTCGAATAAAAGTTACAATATTTTTTTTTTTTTTTTTTTTATTTGGTGTCATCGGCGTCGACTACTACGGCCATTAGCCTCGTGTTCTGTGTAGGCTTTGTTACTGTTTCCCAGCGCCACTTTAGGAACAGCACTGTTAATTAGAACCCAACAGTGAATGGTCGAGTGGGGAATCCTACCAAGGCATCAGAATTAATTTTAAATAATTAAATATTATCAATATTTTTTGTTCTATTTGAAGAGAAGAAAATTGTTTAAATAAAAGTTACTTCTAATATTATCTATAATTTTTGCTTTATGTCAAATTTTCCTGAATTTGACAAAATGTGCAAAATTCTTATTTTTAAGAAAATTGTTAAACTAAAAGTTGTTTGCGATATCGATCTCTATAATTTTTGTTTATACATGATTTTTCTAAAATGGACCGTAATGGAAAAATTGGAGGAAAAGTGCTAAATTTAAATTTTTCAGTATTTTCGTTTTCAATGAATATCTATAGAAAAATGTTTCGAGGTAGATGTATGTGGAAAATGTATATATTTAGTTTATCCTCTAAACATTTATGGAGGTGCTGCAATAGGTTGTACAAAATAACTGGAAAAATCCTATAATAACTAGATAGGAAAGTCATGTGTTGAACACATCAGATTTTTTAATTATGCTAGGTGTTGGCCATTAAAGATAATAGTATGCAGGGGACAGCATATAACAAAACTACAGGTTTTCAATAAGGTGGCAAGCCATCAGGACTTGAACCCTTGCTCATATCTAAACAGTTCAGATTTTCAGATATTTTTGGAATAGGTGACAATATACAGCATTTAAGTATTGCTTGTAATAATATTTAAATGTTTTGAATATTTCTATATTTCATCAGTTAAGAGTAACTAGGTACCTACTTCAAATTGGTTAGGAACTGCAGATAACTTGTGAATTCTTCTGTAGATATATCATACCCCCATACATCATGATTCAGAAGCACCTATTAACTGGATACATTTTATACTGCCATTAGAATATAAACAAGAAAAACTAACTTTTGGTACTATTGTTGCTCATATGAATAACTTATATTATGTTGGTAACATATTTGTATAAGATATAAAGTGGTTTATAAATTAACAAATTATTAGTGCATTCAATTCTAGTTATAAAAGAAAGTTCATAAAGTTTACAAAGAGTTAATTTGGCTATTAATAATTTTCCATAGAAATGCTAATTTCAAAATAATGTCTGATATCGCAACCAAAAATTTTAAAAATGATTTAAGAAGAACAGTTTACCAGCAGTTCCTTGTATATGAATCTAAATAATAAAATTTGCAATGGAAAAATAGTAAAATCTTATCACAATTAAAAACATTTATCAATGCATACATTACAATTACGAATTAGTCTATAGAATGTTGATAACACTAATTTTAAATACCATAATGTGTTGATTCAAATTGAAATATGTTATTTAATAATAGATTTTTTCAATAGCTCATCTGATTATCAGAAGGAAGTTAGATACATGCACATTGAACATAATCCGTTCCTTCAAAACAACGGATATTCCGATGAACTGTCAGTAAAACGTTCCAATGTATTTTCTGATTCGTACATGAATGTTGTACAATTTATCAGCACATGTGTCTCTTTTAGTTCATGCTATTTGTTAGTTATTGTTGTGATTTTAAGTCAGCTTGGAGTGGCTTGGATTTATATTTCTTTCAATCGAAGTGAATAACTTTTATTTTGTTTTTACCTCGTGTACGTTTTTTATGTAAATACTTATTTTAAATAAAAATAAATATTTAATTTTAGGGTTTCAAAATTATACATTCAAATAGATCGTTTGAGAGAGCTAAATAAATGTATTTGTTGTATTTTAAATAATGTTTAAAATACATATTTACCTAACATGTGGTTGGTTTGTTCATTTCTATTGCATCTTGCTTTCCAACCAGTACAAGTCGCTGATAAAACAACAGACAAATAAACTGTCTGACATGTACGGTGGTTAGTTTATGAACGTATCCATGCACGAGTCAAAGAAACATCAGAATGGAGCTGTATGAACAATTCTAATATATTGAGATGTCTTTAATCATACAGAATATTATATTTATTATATAACCATAGGTATATCATATAATATTTCAATTCATATGAAAATTAAAAAATATACAGACCAGTCCATAAGTAATGAGCCAGAGAGGTGGACTGGGAGTATCATGCACACGCATAAGTGCAACAGTGAAGTCTTGTTACTTCAAGATAGACAGAGATATTTGACCGAATCGTTTTCCAGACCATCGGTTCTTATTTTGATTACTAACTTTTAGATAAAGCACATACAACAATGTTTACCGCCTATTGGTTTTCAAAACCGAGTTTACTGTTGTTGTTTTTCAAGAAACGCAGCATTTAAAATTGAAATGGGAAAATTAATACTTGAAATTCAAGCTAGGCCTCGAAAATGGCTGATTATACTGACAGAAAAGTCGAAAGCTGGGATCAAATTGTTAATATTTTTGCAAATGAAATATGACACTGGTATAATAAATGTAATATTGCCTAATTCGCAAGTCGATCTCTAAATGTATCTGCAAGTTACACATTGGTAATCTTTAATGAGTCTCTAATAGAGTTGAGTGATATATATCAAAGACTGTTATTTAAAAATATCGTAAATTGACATTCTTAACAAGTTCCATCGAGTTATATAAATGTTTTTTTAGAAATAACCTCATTTATTTTAATTTTATATCGGATTTTATTTGTTGCACTGGGTGTAAGTGTTCTTCACTAATCGAATTTGATTTGTTTAGTGTAGCTTCAAATATTTGAGTGTAGATAATACATTGAATCTACACCTCAACTCTATCTTCTAGAGCAAGTGTATCTGTCAAATGTGTGATCATTAGGATTATTGTTAAACAGTTTTCATACCAAAATATAACATGATCTGCAAATGGTAATAATGATAAAATATTAATTCTACAAAGTTTACATTAATATATTTTACATCTGCAATCTCGGATTGGTCTTCTCTGGGAGATTTCAAAAAATCACGGGCAGATCTTCACGTCAGACTGTAGAATGTAGATATTTTGACCTTTTCACCCTGAGTTTAGTCTACTCCTTACTCTGTGAGTATTATGGCTGTTATGAGTGGTAATGGGGGTAATATTTTAATAATCACCAGATGGCGTTCCTGTAACGCGAGGTCTATGGAATGACCTGTCAAAAAGCTTTTTTATTTTAAAATGTTAATAATATTTAACTTTATTTTATTCGAAAAATAGAAGTTTTTTTGTCTGGATACTGATATCTGCCACATAAGTAGGGTTGTCACCTTTTCATTTCTCAAAACCCGGACCTTTGTGAAATTACTAAAAAAAAAAGGTCCTCAGTATGTATTGTTAATAAACCAAATCCTTCTGAAAAACATGTATTAAAGTTATCCAGATATTCCCGGACATTTTCGTCATGCGACCGGACTCCGGATACATTGTTACAAATCCGGACAGTCCGGGTAAAACCCGTTGCAATAAAGAAATAAAGAACGACCAAAACTTGGCTTTATTCAGCAAATAACTGTAATTATAAAAATTACATATTAATCAGATTATAACTAACGAATAAGCAATCTCCTAAGCGATGCAACTTGCATACAGTGTGTACACGCAATGCTCATTACATTTACCCTTCCTTAAAAACGAACAAAGTCCTTTAAATATTTTGGTGGTGCCTTGGTTCGAATTGATCTTGATGCAAATGGTATATTTTCATTATGAGTCAGTTGTTGACTAGATAAAAACGACTGATCGTTTCTAACGATTTGATTGACTAGATTCTAACGATTGCTCTGTATGGTATTTATCCTTTCTAAGTAACTTATTTTCTTCGTCACTTATCGCAGGGACTCTTTCTATGAGTACTAGGTATAGTGTGGATATGCCTTTTATAGGAGGATACATAAAACCATAGGTCCTGAGGCCATAGTCGTTTGGCGTCGTTAAAGATATTAACGTGCTCACTAGTAATAATAATAATAATAATAATAATACTACAGTGAATAAGAAAAACAGTGGTAAAACTATTTTTTAAAATAATGTTGATGGATGATTTGTATTTTTTACAGGTGAACCACTATGCAACAGTCGCGTGCCAAAGATTAGAGAGAATAGGAGCAGGAGGTAAACGTACAGCTAGGCGTCCTCAATTAGATGACATCGAAGCCGCTCGTAAACAAATATTCCAAGCTAGTTTATTCGGTAACACGTTACGAGAAGTAATGCAACTGCAGGCGAGTCGTTGGCCCAACAGAAGGCTCCCTTGGCCTCAAGTAGAGCTATCACAACAAGTGTTAAAGTTACAAGGTTTAACAACTGAGGGTATATTTCGTGTCTCAGCTGACGTTGACGAAGTTAATCGTTTGAAAGCACAAATGGATATGTGGGAAATTAGCGAGCCCAGTGACGCTCATGTGCCTGCAAATTTGTTAAAGCTGTGGCTTCGTGAGCTGTATGAGCCACTCATACCGGACTCTCTTTATCCTGAATGTGTAGCAGAGCCAATGACTCCTCGTCGTGCATGTGATTTAGTTCTACGTCTCCCTACCCTACATAGGCTTGTATTATGCTATCTGATTAGGTTCCTTCAAACCTTTAATAAACCTGAAGTTATACAGCACACCAAAATGGATGCTTCCAACTTAGCTATGGTATTCGCACCTAACTGCTTGAGATGCATGGCTAGTGATCCACGTACTATGTTCGATAATGCACGTAAAGAGATGGCATTTATGAGATGTCTCATACAGGAACTAGATACTGAATGTGTTCGAGATATGATCTGACCTCAACTTTCTTATGTATATAACATATTTATATAAACATACCATTTATTGTAACATTTTTTTATAGTGAAAATAGATATTTTCTTGTGAGTTAATTTTTATTATTACTTTTACATTACAAATTGTGATTTAAATTATATATAGAATAAAATTGTTTTCCTAAGAATTGTATGGTTGTTATTATGTATAGTAATTCTGTAACTTGAGCCAAAATGTTTTGATTAACGTTCATGCGGGTAAAACAATACTTTATAGTCCAAGATCCCAGAACACCAGACCTACGTCATTTTAGAATAGCTAAGCTTTTGACAATAAATAGTGTAATATAATAATTAAGAACGTATTCGAACAAGCTAGCTTGAAAGCTTGGCAATTCATTTTACAGGTAACAAGTACAAAAAACCTCATTAAGAATGGGACACAGAACAACTGAAGATTCTCTGATTAAAAATAAGTCGATTAAACGAAAATTTCTTATATAAAATATTACTCGTTTCCGAAATACAGGGTGCTAAAGTTGAAAATTCAAAAATTATTACCTAATGACTATATTTTTTTTTATTTCTCATTACAAATTACTAAATTCAAAATTAATAATCGACTAATTAAAAATAATCGATTAATCGAAAATAATCGATTAATAGAAAATACTCGAATAATCGATTATCGATTAAAAAAAGTAATTGACTAATCGATTATTTTGCCCACTTGTAGTCATAAGTTATCAGCAAAAAAATCAGTTAAATAAACCGGCGTATGGCATGTATAAGTAATATATTTATCCTAAATTTTACACCACTGTCCAAAAACTTTTTAAACTATAACTTTAAATGTTTTGATATGTTATATTTTATCTAGACATGTTTCGTTAATTCGTCTTATTTTTAATTAGAGAATCTTCAGTTGTTTTGTTTCTTATTCTTAATGTTTTACAGAATATTGGTAAATACCAAGTCATTATTGCCAGACACTTTACGTGAGCTCTAACTTTCGCCAGACGCTTTAAAGCTTGTAATAAAATAGGTAAAAATTGTTTTTAATTTAAACGGTTTTATTGAGAAGAAAGATAATAATTATGTAGATAATGTACTAAAAGCTAAAAAATAATTAGGTAGGTCCAGAGCTGGGCAGTACTCGAGTAAATGTACTTAAAATTATTGTACTCAGTAATTAGTAGTGATGGGTCGCTTTGAAAAGTCCGACGGGCTAGTCTGAAAAGTTAAGGTTGTGGACGTCAGTGCGGAATTGAATTTTATTATATAAGTAAGCAGGTGTTAGAGTTACCATAATCTTGCGAAACATTGAGCATGCATGCAATGTTCTTCTTTCCGCCATATTAAGCCAACCCAGTTCCTTTAAGTGTTGACTAGTATGATCACGTCTGTAAAGTCCACAAATAAAACGTACACACGAATTTTGTATCTTTTGTAAGCGAGTTTTATCAACACCTAACAAACTTGGTCCATAGACCACATCGCCATAATTGGCGTGAGATAGGACAAGAGAATCACATAACATGGCTTTAGTTCGTTTATTCAATATGCTTTTATTTGCATATAGGAGTTTTAAACTACTATAGGATTTTCTTACAATATTTGTCACATGAGACGAGAAGCGAAGTGAATTATCTATATGAATACCTAGATTCTTAACACATGAAAGAAGCGGCAGTTGTTGACCATCCAAGCTAATGTTCACATAATTAATAATCTTTTTTCTAGCTGTAGGACGTCCAAATAACTGGACTACGGATTTAGTTGGATTTATACTTAAACAATATTTGTCAGAAAGTCTAGCAAGAGAGATGAGGTCAGCATTAATTTTTACGCAAGCTTCTTGAATATTTTCCTTTTCAAAGGAAAGGTATAGTTGAGTGTCGTCTGCATAAGTATGAGATGCACAGTATTTTAAAGCAAGTGGCAGCTGTGATGTATAGATGATAAAAAGAAGAGGTCCTAAAATTGAGCCCTGAGGAACCCCAGAGCAGATGTTTAAAAATTCAGAAGTTGTTTTATTTAACACGGTGGCTTGAGTTCGCTCATCCAAATAACTACTCATTAAGGCGGTAGTTTTTCTTGAAAATCCAAGATAATGCACGATCGCTAGTAGGAGTTTGTGGTTAATAAGATCGAATGCTTTTGAATAATCGAGAAGGACTAAGATAGTCAATAAATTATCATCGCAGGCTTTATGGATATCATCAGTGACTTTTAGAAGTGATGTAGTGCAACTATATCCTTTTCTAAAACCAGACTGATAAGATGGAAGCAGGGAAAACTCATCCAAGTAATGTCTAATTTGCAGATCAATTAGTTTTTCAAACACTTTAGAAAGGCAACATAGAATACTTATCGGCCGAAGATCTGAGTATGCCTCAGGTGAATATTTCTTTGCTATAGGTATAATAAAAGACTTTTTCCATAGTCGGGGATAGGTACTCTTTTCGATTATGACATTAAATATGTAAGTTACAAAAGAAATGATAAAAGGACAAGAATATAATAACATTTTAATGCTTATTTCATCAGCTCCAACTGCTTGAGATTTAATTGACAATAGTTGTTTGTATACATTTTCTTCTGTTACAGGATTTATTATTAAGCTATCAACATTATTTTTGGTGGAGTTCCTAAAGAACTGTAACATTTGATCATCACTTTGTTGGACTGTGTAATATTCGTGAAGTATTCATTGATTTCCTTCACATTAGATATACTCTCAGGAATTTCAATAGTTTGTTTATTATAAACGTCAAGTTTTTTCAGCTGTTTCCAGATGTTATTTTTACTTTGTGTTCTAATTTGAAATTCGAAATAGGCTTTTTTTTCCAATTTTATTGTCCTGTTCGTAAGATTTCTTAAATCTTTATAATAGTTGAAATGTATAATCTGCTTAGTTTTTTTAAATTTAGCCAAAGCTTTATCACGTAAAGACATCATAAATTTTAAGTTAACAGTAAGCCAAGGTGCAGGTTTCTTTGCAATTCTAACAGTTTTTAAGGGAGCATGTTTATTAAATAAAAAAACCAAGGTATCATTGAAGTATTTAATCATGTCATCGACATTATTAAGCATGTATATATGATTGAGATTTGCCATAGTTAAATCTAGAACAAACCTATCGTGGTTAAAATTGCGAAAATCTCTATAAGTGTACGTTTTTGGATGAATCTTAATCTTTTTGGTGTTAATACAACAAGAAACGAGATGATGATTAGTGAATGTCGAGCAGTCCACTGTTGCCACATTATCACTTATTAGCTCATTTGATAGACATATTAAGTCGAGAAGCGTACTGGATGTAGGACTAATATGGGTTGGTTGATTAATAATTTGCTTCAGTTCGAACATATCAAGAACAGATAAAAGTGACGAACATGAATTATTTTCTGAATCAAGCAAATCAATGTTTAAGTCTCCGGCAAAAATTACGTGATTATATTGGGGAACTATGATATTAAGAACATCTTCAAGCGCTGTAATGAAATTAATAGGAGAAGATTTAGGAGGTCTGTAAAGGGAACCAAGTGCGTAAGAAACATTTTCAACACAAAAAGTCACCCAAACCTGTTCTGTACTATTAATGGATAAATTGTTTATAATTTTGGCATTGAAAATGCTTCTTATATATATAGCAACACCTCCTCCTATCTTTTCTTTCCTATCATTGCGAAAGAGTTTGTAACCTGATAGATTTATACTTTTGTTCGAAATGTTAGCATTAAGCCAAGTCTCTGATACGGTAATAATGTCGAAATTATCAAAAACAGATCGTTTAAACTCTGCAAAATCACTAGTAATAGATCTGGCATTTATATGACATAATTTAATAAAACTCATGCTGAAAATTGTGGCAATAAGATCGTATACAAATTTTCCCTTTAGCAACCTTTTATTAAAATTAATACAACTTATGTAATATAAAAAAAAATATGTATGCAGACAAAAGGTCTCAGATACTACCTTTTAATATATATGCCTAAGACTGAAGACTTGATTGATTTCGAATTGTATCAATATTCTAAATTCAGTAAAGACAAATATGATAAAAAGTTGTAATTACCTAAAATAGTACAGATGCTTAGAGTTACTTACAATATGTCAGGGGAATAATATATATTAATATTTGTATGAAAATATGAAAAGATGTAAAAAAAATAACAAAGTTGTAGATGTGTTGATAGGACGATTATGAAAAAAATAAAAAAAAAAAATCGTTTATTTGTTAATCTGTGATCTTAGATTAGGTTTATTATTCGGTTTTTGTTGAATATCTGAGTCCTGATTATTTTCAAGATTACGCTTTTTGGATACGGTACTGCCAGTAGAAGAGGAACTATCCTGCCTTATGCGAGATTCTTCTGTGAACATTGATTGAGAGAGTTCATCAATTTTGTAAGATACACCATTTACAATTAGAGTATTGTTTTTAATAACCGCCGTTGATCCTTCTTCACGTGCTGCTTTTTGACAACTATATAAAAATTTTCTTTGTTCATAATCCTCAGCAATATAATCGATGGAGATAAATATCCCTGAACCTTTCAAGAGTTTAGCTTTGTTAAGAACTTCCCATTTGAAACGAGAGGTTAAGCATTCAATAATTATAGGTTTGGGTTTGTTGATACTGCCACCTGAGTTTAGTCGAAAAACGTCTCGTAGATCTTTTTCATCACAGGAAATATTTAGCTTGTCACGAAATAAACTAATAACTGCACAGAGTAGATTAGCTCCTTCTAGGTTGTAGATAATTAAGTTGTATTTTTTAGTTTTCCTCTCACAGGCCAACACTCGTTTTTTTAAATTGGTATTTTCAATTATCAATTCTTCATTTTGTTTTTTTAATTCATTAATGTTTTTCTGAAAATCAACTTTAAAAGAACTTAGCTCTCCGCTAAGACTATCAACTTTAGCTGTTAATTGCTGATTTTGCAATTTTATTTCTTTGAACATTTTTATGATTTCATCTTTCTCAATGACTGGCATCTCTAGAATAACAAATTAAAGCCCACCGACTATAATGTAGAAACAGGTATTTTAATATTGTTCGATAAAAAGCCACGATAATGATAGAATTGATGGTGTTAATTATTCATTTCGATGTTTCTTTTCAATTAATAATCAAACT